AGACCAGGACCACACGCTCGGATCCATCCAGAGATGCCCGCTCCACCTTGGGCTTGCGCTCGTTCCAGTCGCTCCAAAACATCCAGCCCAGCGAGGGGGCCACTGCAATGGCTCGCGGCTCCTCCAGATGCTCATAGATCAGCACTTTCCTTGCCGTGCCATCCAGACGACAGACCTCAATCCGATCTGTGACCGTGTCCGTCCAATACAGGTTGCGGGCCAGCCAATCGAGCGCCAAGCCGTCGGGATGACGCACTTCGGAGGTCACAAAGTCGGTGACCCCAGTGCCATCGGCATGAGCTCTTTTGATCGTATACGTCTCCACGTCGGACCAATAGATGTGCTCCTCCACCGGGTCGTAATCTATGGCTATTGCGTATTTCACCTTCCCCAAAGGCAGCGGGAATATGGTGTAGTCCGGCGAGTCGAGGGATATCTTACTAATCTGCGTTCTCTGCACAATGAACATCATTTCCTGAGATCCATTGGCACAGGTATTTGGTGATATCAACTTCACCCCAGTGGGACAGGCGCAGCTGTAACCCTGTGGGTTTGTAGCCAGCAGGCAAAGATGTGAGCAGTTCCCATTGCTGTGAGCACAAGGGTTGTCCTCATATGGCTGCAGGGAGGGGTCCCATGCTCTTACTGAGTTGGGTGCCTTGGGCGTGTCAATCAGCTCCTTCAGCTCACGGGTTTGCAGGTCAAGGGCATTCAGCGATCCCCTCTGCCAGTCCGTCCAGTACAAACGATCGTCGTAGAAGGTCAAACTAAAGGGGTACTTCAGGTTGTTAACTATCGTCCGCCGACTGCTCCCGTCCAATCTCATCACATCGATGAAATGGTGCTTGCCATCCGTCCAGTAGATGAGCTCGTTCTTCAAGTCTACGGCCAGTCCGTTGGGCCAGAACACATGCTCCTTGACCAATGTCATGCGAGACAGTGGGTCGCCATCCATGCTGGCGCGCTCGATCTTGGGATACTCTCCCCAATCCGTCCAGATGAGCAGTTTGCGTGCGGGAACCACGGCCACCGCTCGCGGCTGGTCTAGATCCGTCCAGAAGAGCACCTTCTGGTAGCGACCATCCAGCGTGGCCACCTCGATCCGGTTCTTCTCGCCGTCCGTCCAGTAGATCTTGTCCGTGTACCAGTCGATGGCCAGACCCTCGGGCTTGTCCAGTCCCGTGGATATCACAGTTTGCTTCGGCGCCCGCAAGAGCGGCTGCAGTGCGGAGGAGTTGGTGTGGGCGCACTCGATAATCTCCCGGCCGGAATCCGTCCAGCAGACCAGGTTCTTCGCGTAGTAGAAGTCAATGGCCATCGCCTCGGCCAGATCCCTCACGATCACATCGATCTGAGGTCCGCCCGTGGGCCTCGTGATGTTCGCCACCTGGATGTCGTGGCGGGTGGTGAAGAGCAGGGTGGCCGGCGTGTTGACAAACGCACTGGCGGGCGGGCTGGCTATCAGAGATGAGGAGCTGGGCATGTGAACTGAAAGTAAATGGAATTTAAAAGGGATTAGTCAGGGAATCTTACGTATGTGTATCTAAATCAATAAATTTGTAGCTTAAAGTAGTGCTATGGGAACAAGTAAGAGGGGTGGGCCACTTCTAATTAACAAATGCAATATTCGAAAAGCCGCTGGGTGCAGAAGCCATCAAGTATTAAATAAGCAACAGGGTTCGCCGGCTCGAGTGGTTAACAATATGGCAGAGCCGGAATTGTTGCCGTGGAAAATGGTAAATGCAATCGCAACTACGCCCAGGCAGGTCTTTGTTTACCATTTATGTATGTGCATGCCTGGGCATGGGCACATATGTGGGTGGGTGGTTGGCCCCCGAGTTGGGGCTGCTCTACTCCAAGCTGCGAGCTCCAAGCTGCAAGCTGCTGTTCGCTGCTGCGCTGATCTAATTGCGTATGAATAAGCGCATGGAGGCGCACCAGGTGGAACAAATTTCAGCTGGTTGTCTACTGCACAGCCACTGAAAATACCCTGAAAGCTATAATAACTGCTAAGAGGCTGCAGAACTCGATCAAACATATTCATTTTAATTCGATAAATGGACCTGGGTGCGCTAAACAAGTATTTAAAACCATTTCACAGCATTTTGTAACTAATTTCTTTAAAATAAGGGAATGAAACTTAATAAAATTTCTTAACAAATCCCTTTTACATGTTATCCATGACTTACCTAGAAGCTGCTGACAACTTAAGGTCACTTTTTCAAGTTCCCAGTTAAATTACAAATTAGTCCACCTAAAACAGCTACATTTTCAAACTTGCGTAAGCAATTTGTAAGCATATTTGCTGAAATATACCCTGCTCCGTCTTTTATTATTTACGGAATTCAAGCATTTCTACTAGACTATTTTGAAGAGAGATCCACTTTCAGTTGCAAAATGTTGACCCACAAGGCAACAGGAGCTGCGCGGGCTGCAATCCTCATCCCCCGGTCCCCCAGCCACCGAATCCCCATCACCCGACTTGTCAGCGCGTCAGGCATTTGCAATATTTATGCAACCAGGCGGAGGAGCAGCAGGCTCTCGAGTAATCCATCAAGCACCGTGGGCTTTCGGGGGAAACGGGGACCCAAAACAAAAATGGTGACATTTTGCAAAGTGGGTTGGTTGCTTGCTTGGTTGCCTGCTCATACGCCATCAAGCGTGCACACGCCCACTTTTCCGCATCCCGCCCCTTTTTTACTTTTTTGTACAGCCCCATCACTTGGTAGTTGGCCCCAGGTGCAGCAACAGGATTTATGTGCCAAGTGTGCAAATTCAACAATATTTTCATGCATGGGGATGGGAGTAGGGACCCCTCTATAAGCATATGCGCGCGGGCAAATGTTTGCCTAGCTGTTCTGGATCGTTCGATAATAGTGCTAATGCTGGAATCCTATATCACATTATGTTCGGAAGTATTGTGCACCGTAATCCCTGGATGCTGACAATGGGAATACGGCTAGATGACGTTGCTGTTTGGGGGACCAGTACTTAACTGCAAATCCTTGTATATTATTCACATTTTTTATGCTCCTCCGCGGACGGCAGTGAAGCGTTAAGAAATCAACATCATTACCAACAAAAACAAAAACATCATCAGCAGCAACAAAAACAACATCAGCAGACATGCTCATCAAGTCGAGTACCGGAGCCACGAGGAGCAGTCCCCCAAACAACCATCTCGTTTTCCTCTACACCAAAAGAAATATAAAAAATCAAACTGGAAAAAGGCTTCCCACAGGAACTAGTCCTAATCCTGGTTTTGTAATCTTTCCGTAAGATTCCTATGCGAACAAGGAAGCTTCCTTAAGCTTATCTTTTTATCAGGAAATTCCACAATCTGCAGAGCTTTGGGGATGATTGTGCAGACATTTTCTCAGATTCCTATGGATTGTGGAATCTGTGATGCCACTTCGATTCCTGGTTCAAATTCGAAAGAACTTTTTCGCCCCGTGCAGTCACACACACTCGACCGAAATTGAAATGCAGACGAAGCCAGAGATGGAACCGTGGCGTAACCCGTTGATTCCTCCTGCCTGCACTTCATTCAAACTTGGGAAAATATTTTAATTATTAATGTATACAACTGGGGTCGGGTCGGGACAAGAGGCTCCAGTGGGAGCAGGAGTGGCAGACGGAGGCGGAGACGGAGACGGAAAGCCAGGAGCAGCTGCTGAGGGTATAGAAATGGGCAACGGATGCGCATGTGAATGATGCGGCTTCAAGATTGGCACTGGGTTGGTTGGGTGGCCAGGTGGTTCTGGTTGTGGTTGTGGTTCGTGGCCTGTGGCAAAATGGCATAATTCGGATGACCGAGTAGACGATTTGAACGCCACGGCACATGAAGACCCCCGTGGTCCAGGTGAGGGCGCTCCACCACCGGGAGCAGGAGCAGGCAGCAGGCAGCAACAACTGCACTTAAATGCTAAATGAGTGCAAGTGCTGTTATTGTTAGCCAACTGGAGCGGGCGGGATCTCGGGGAACTCCACGGATCCGGTGGATAGTGGGCAGTTTCGAGGGGGCGGTGCAGTAAACTTTAAGTGAGCACTGGCAGGGGCAGGAGCACGGGCCGGAGCAGGATGCTGCCACTCCATCCGCATCCCGGCACTGGCAACACTCGAGTCCTGCCGCAGAACGGGGTGGCAACTGATGACTCGCCCCTCGACGCACTAGTTGCAACGGAAGTTGCAGCTATTTAAATGTGTTGAAGAGCCTGGCCCGGCTAAATAGGCGTCCTGCAGAATAGCAGAACAGTTCACCAGTTGGCTGCCAGGAAGGCAGGCTGGAATCTAGTCAACCATCCGTACGATACGCTGCTCACACCACCGCTCCATCGTTGTAGTTTTTGCTGCTCGCATTTTGCATGGGCTCGTTGTTGTACTTGTTGGTTAGGGACAGAGTGCACCGAGAACCGTGAGGTTACACTGGGGGAATTTCTAATGAATTGCCTATAGCATTTGTTCCCAACAACTCTGAACTTTTCAAGGAAAGATTTAAGCTTCTCAGTACTACGTAGAGATCCTTTTCCAGTTTTCTTTCATACTAAACATTAAAATCATTGTAGCATCTACAAGTGAGGGTCCCTAACTTCTACAGAGATAGAAAGTAGCTTCTAATATACTGTTAATATACCAAAAAAGTGTTTATTAAGCGTTATAAAAGCAAGACAAACAACTGTCTTTAAAACTGTACATTGAATACTATGGGTCTGTTTTTGAAGTTTATGACAGGACTAAGTAAAACCCATCAATTTTCTTACGCACGTAGCATCCCCAATTTCTTGCACTGCGCTGTAGGGTCTCACTGCCACGCTCCATAATTAATTTCGCTCATGAATAATTTTTAATTAAATGTGCAAAAGCAGAAGGCAGAAAAAACTGCACTAAAATAGCATTGAAAGAAGCAATGTGCCCTGCTTTTGTCATGACCCCTTTTATCCCCAGCCCGACTGGGAAATTCAGAACTCCTGCATGGCATTCATAATCAAATTGAACATAAATAAATAAATAAGTATACCCCGGAGTTGGGGGATACAGCTCCCGAGATGAGCTGCCTCCGTTGAAGAAACCACAAGTGCAGTGGCATCGTCAGCATCCGGAATCCGGGCTCCTGAGGAGCAGCTACTTGAGGTAGCGAAGTCAGAGTTTCAAGAGCCCCAGATGAGGAACTGTACGTGCATAAACGAGGCTGTTATCAACTGTCGTCCATTAGGCGTCCGCCACATCTCAACATGCATCATGCTGGAGTGCCGGCTGAATGCTCAATAAATTATATATGTAACATGCTTTTTATCAATTACTCGCACCTTCAAGCCGCAGACGACAGACGACAAGCTGCAGCGATGTCCATGGCAAATTGCGGGACAAAACGTAAAGTCGGAGAGGAGACGAGGGCAAAGAGTTGAGGCCGGGCCAAGAAGACCAGGCGAGAGCAGACCGGACCAGACCAGACGACCATGCCAACGAGCTGGGTCTTCGAAACTTCGTTGGCAGCAAATGCAATTCCAGCCAGTAAATGGAGACGGCAGCTATCCGAGTCCAAAGGCGTTAACAAGTGTGGCAGCGAAAAGGGAGCTGGGTCGGCTCTGGGCTCCTGAAACTTTTCCATTGGGTTCGCCCTGCCTCTGTTTTGAGACCACAGTCAAGCCTCTATGGGTGGAGTCTGTTGTTGCAGAGTATGCAAAATGTAACTTCAAGTTAGGATGATACATTACTTTTAAGAAAAGTAAGCAATTGATTGGTCGAGGTCATGTTTGGTTCATTTTAGCATTTTAACACACAGAACTCAACGTAGGTGGTATAAAGAACATGGTATCTGAATAAAGGACATGACATCAAAAATCAATATGGTAAATATATTATACGATGCCACATTATTTATGTTTACTTTTTGTTTTATAGTATAGTATCCCTTATAAATTTCAAGAATTATTGATTTCAAAAGTTTATATTCTAGGAAATTTCCTGTTTTAAAAAGTCTCGCGATTTTATATTTTTTCAATCTGTTCCTGGGAAGTTGGCCTTTATTTCGGTTTATAATTACAAGGCTCTAGTTCATCATTTGCATCACAGTCTGCTGGTTTTTTCCACATCCTCAATCTCAGAGCCAGCTGCATAATATTCACAACTTATTCATTGTTTCGTCAATCAGGCGTTGACATGCCAGTTCCGCCCTAATGGCCAACAAACTGAGCAACAGGAGGAACTCGAATGGGAAAAGAAAAGGAGGAGGAGGAGGAGGAGCACCTGCCACGAAAGCCAGCCAAAGTTATTCAAGCAAAACTCCTCGAACACACAAAAAAGCCAACCAAAACCGAACAAAACCAACGAAAGAAAGCAATTTTGTGAAAATTTAAGATGTGTTGCGGGCAAACTTTGGCCTCCTTCTCCTTCGCCTCCTCGAACTTCTGCTCCGCCGTGTTCTGTGCATTTTACATACAACACGAAGGAAACATGGGAACAACAAGCACACGAAAAAGGTAGAGATAAAAATGCGCAGATACCGGAGGAGACCGGGTCCCAGCTGAACGTCGGGATCCAGATCCAAGCCAGCCAGCAGGCCAGCCAGCCAGACCCAGGAGTTCACTCATTTAAATTATCAACACGAAGAGGGAAGCGAATGGATGCAAGATGTTCTAGAGGAGCGGAGAATCCTCCAGCGAATCCACTTAACTTCAAGTTAACACATATGCTTGGTTGCCTGCGTACGATAATAATAACCATGGTCCCGATGATCACCTTGATGATGAAGCTCCCTGTGCAGACGATGATGAAGTTCTGGTTCTTCCTCCATTCATTCTCCTTTTTGTTCTCCAGTTATCCAGTTTGCCAAATTGTTAATGGTTATCAAGGACGAGGAGGGACTCCTCTTCAATTTCTGCAACCTGAGACCTTGTCCGAAATTGCTCTACCTTTTTGGGCTGCTGCTGGTTTTCAATCGGGTTTTTACTTTCCTGCTTGGACACAACATGCAGATGGAACTGATTTTACTTTAAGTTAAGTTAAGAACGAAAATAGGAGCAATCTTAGTTCACAGAGCCCTTTATAAATGCAGAGACCTAACGGATTAATATTACATTTAGTTCTTACTGCTCTAGTAGCCTCTGAGTATTATATTAATTCACGACATTTCTTATTTTAATTTCGTTTTCAATTTAAAGGGCTTTTTGGAATAGCCCTGGGCACAACCACAATAGATTTCCCTGACAACTCTGAATAAAACTATCATGAGCCCTCTGAAAAGTGGTTAAAAGGTTGTCTAAAAAGCGTGCAACTCTGGTTAATCTTGTTCCAGCATCCCTGACAGCTTTAAATTAAAACCAAAACCACTGACACGAAAATGTTCACACACCTACTTAAAATGTAATCGCCGCGTGCTGCGGAAAAAGGGGGAGGGCTATTCGGCCTCGGAGAAGGGGTCTGAGGTCTGGAGGATGATGAGGTTTAGGGATGAGGTATGAGGTATGGGGATGAGGCATGGGGCATGGAGCTGCGGGGTGCCCGTCCGCTCACCCGATATGACAACTGGCCATTAACGTTAAAATAAATACGCTGTGATGGCCCGGCAACGCCAATTGCCAACTAAAAGACTGGAACTTGGACGATGGCAGCGCGACCGTAATGATTATGTTGCCGAACGAGGGGAAGTTGGGTGGAAAGCGATGGAGCGTTGAATGAGAAAAATCAACAAACCACAAATCGTATGAGCCGGCGACGGATGCGGGAAAAATGCTAAATAATCTGTGGTGGCGCAAAAAACACACCAAAATGGAAATCAGCTTGTCCTGGCCCGATAATGTGCATGGAAAATTGTGAGTAGCCAGCAGCATGGCGAATTTTGATGGCAAGTCCACTGAAGCGAACCGGACAGCCGGACAACTGGACGACCCAACCGGCGGCAGCAACTTAAAATGCATTGAAACTCGGCTCGCAGCATTAACATTTAAAAAGTTAAACATAAACATGACTGGCTGCATCCGGATCCACATCCTCATCAGAGTTCGTCGAGGCAGTTAACAAGCTGCCAGCCACCACTTGGTCAAAACATCTTTAAAGCGACGGGAATCTGGGAATAAGAAGCTTTATCTCAAGAACTTTGAGCCTCATTTTTATGTTGTCATGTAGTTGTAAAGTGAGTTTTGCACATTGCTCTCGATATATTTAAAATTCTTGAAGTAAATATATTATTGGAGGCCACAAATCTCTTATTTTGAAACTAGTGGGGGCTGGAGAAAAAACTTAAGTTTAAAGGTCACTTCAAATTTAACTAAACGTTGTATTTTAAACCCTTTCTACATTAATTTAATCATTAATTTAAACCATTTACTTGAAAAAAGTATTTTACATATTGCTATCGATATATTTAAAAAAAACTTAGCAGTAAATTTATAATAAGCACAGGCCAAAAAAGAATATTACCCTTTAAAGTCACTTCAAATTTCTGATTTTAAACCATTCCTAAAATAGTGATTGCTTTAATTTTACCTTCAGTTTTATAAAAAACAAGGAAGAACGCTATAGTCGAGTACCTCGACTATCAGATACCCGTTACTCAGCTATATGGAGATATGCAAGCAGCAAAGCGAGATTAAAATGCGCCACCTACCGGCGGTATACAGATTTAAGCGTTATGGGCGTTAGAGTGGGCGTGGCAAATTTTTTTTTGGATCAATCGATAGGTATCGACGAGACCAATACATTTCAGTTACAATTTTTTATCTAGCATGAAAATTGTGGGCGTCACAGGTTTTCGCGGTTTGTGGGCGTTAAAGTGGGCGTGGCAAACTTTTTTTTGGGTCAATCGATAGGTATTGATGAGAACAATAAATTTCAGTTAAAATTTTTATTCTATCATCAAAACTGTAGGAGCCACAGTTTTGGGCGGTTTGTGGGCGTTAGAGTGGGCGTGGCACTGTGCCGAAACAAACTTGCGCTGCGTAAGAAGCTCAGGAATCTGCACGCCAAATCTCAATAGCCTAGCTCCCATAGTTTCCGAGATCTCAGCGTTCATCCGGACGGACAGACAGACGGACAGACGGACAGACGGACAGACGGACAGACGGACATGGCTAGATCGACTCGGCTAGTGATCCTGATCAAGAATATATATACTTTGTGGGGTCGGAAACGCTTCCTTCTGCCTGTTACATACTTTCCGACGAATCTAGTATACCCTTTTACTCTACGAGTAACGGGTATAAAAATGTAATCAGACTGTACATTTTATTTAATTAAATGACTTTTTAAGCAAATCAACTAATACAGTAGAATTATCAAATGTATATACTCTATAATATTGTACTTTAGTTCCCTATAATTCTGAATCAAACTGCTGGTTATTCCGAATCATGGATAAACCATTTTTTAACCCAGCAGGGTAGAAACCCAGAAATTTCCAGATATTTTATAATGGGCAAGGGGCCTTAAACTTCAGCTTTTCTTATGCTTCCCCGCAACAATGCCAAAAATTACATGAAATCATAAGAGTGTTGTAAAATTATAAACGAACCCAGCGGCCTAAGTTTGGCCCGCCCGCCTGCCTGCCTCATGATTGCATTAAAATTTATGCCGAAAACAAAATCCGCAGACCCGGAAAGGCAGCCCATCATAAGCACAGGCCGAAGGATGAATCTGCGGCTCAGATCATCGGCCCATCCCAGCTCGTTGAAAATTGCCCACAGCGCGATGCTCCTCCAGTCCTGGGCCCACTTATCGTAGTAGAACACTCCGCGGATGCAGCTGTGGACCGGAGTTATATAGCCATAGCTTCAGCAACTGCTATAGCCACAGCCGCCAGTCGAAGCCAAAAGTGGAAATTGCAATTGTGCCCGAAAAGGGGCCGAGAGCATTTCGCTCGGCCATTGTTTTGCCGCTGCTGCCAGGCCTCATGTTTTATTTAAAATCCTCAACATTATATTACAATGGGGCGGTGGACGGATGCGACGATCTTTCCATTTGCTTGATGGAAGATGGAATGGAGCATTTAAATATTATGCAGATGGATATGGCTGTTCAACCCCAAGCCCGATTTTCTTCTGCAGGACGAGTGAGTGTGTGTGCGATGCTAACCATCACGAACGGAGCCCAAAGACGTGCCCGTCCAAATAAAATACTGAGCAAAAAATGAAGTCATGAACTTTATTTTCTCTCAACTCGTTAGCATCAACACCCATTTCCCCGCCCCCAACCAAATCCCCTGCGAAACGCCATTAACTCGCACAGCATGCAATTTGCACGTTCGGAGGGAAAGACTTGCCAAAACTCAACTCGTTCGCGCTTCGGGGGAGCAGCCAAGAGAAGAAGCTGGTCAGGCGGAGCTACACGGCGAGTAAACTGGTATTTTTATGAGATAGGGCTATAAAAAAACTTCCTCTAATCGTACATTCATCTGAAAATGGTGCCAAACAATTGATCAATAGATTTTGGTAATATGATATTAAATTGACACAGTTTTAGAGATCTCATGTACCACCGATTACAAATACTACCTAATACCTTTTTAAAAATATTGAAATCAGCTACCAAAAGTATAGGGATTTAAAACCAAGCTATTATACCTTTTTATTTCCAGTTCAATAGCCCTATTAGTTATATTTATAAACATGTTAAGGCTGGTTTTAGGTTTTACAATCAAAATTTCCTTACAATGTCTAGGTTAAAAACGTTTTTATATTATTATGCAAACTCTAAAAGCCCTTAAAACAAATAGTTATCATTATAACAGCCCGATTCTCTCTGTGTACAGCTACAGAGCTACAGCAACAAAAAGCATTCCTCAAATTGGTGCCATGCTGAAAGAGATAGCTAGCTGACAAAGGAAAGAGAGGCGAGGCAAAGCAGAAGCGTTGTGGTAGGAATCGTGCCAAAACTGTTGAAAATGTTGCACAAACGATTGGGTTTGTTATCTTTTCCAAACGGAAAACGTGCTGTGCCCCCAACAGAAAGCGGAGAACGGAAAAAACACACCAGCAGAAGACGACACAACATGGAAAAGGCGCAGACATGCAGCAAACCCTGGGCCACAGAGATGCTGGGATGCAGTTGCAGGGGGTCGGAGCAGTGGGAGTGGGAGTCAGAACAAGGTACATCTATCAGCCAAATCGGAGGCGGAGGAGTCTTTGCTTTTTTTAAGGAATATTTCCTCAGCTCATTGGTTAGTCGCCCGAGGGCAAAGGGGCCAAAGACTCGAGAGGGCCAAGAGCTCTTTGAAGGAGATTCGGTTCTGGAAATGACAGTGGCCCAAAAGCAAATCGTCGTCGTTAACTTCGGTCTGGGGCTGCAGTTTATTTGAGGTGTGGAGAGGTCAGTTGCTGCTGCCTTGCGCTGGGTTCCTAACCACCCGTCAGCCTTTGGGCCATTCAAATTTGCATCAATTTCAAGTCAAGGAAGACAAACTTCAATTTCGACAAGGGGCACTGAGTGCTTCTTGGCATATCTAAGAATTGTTATGGCTTGTTAGGGCTGTGGATCGATCAACTGCGCCAATTACCTTTCGTGAGTTGGATAAAAATATCTTTTAAAAATATGGGAAACCATTTAGCCAATATTAACTAGTACTTGCAACTGCTTTAACAAAATACATTAAAGTTTGCACAGTATTACGAATTCTAAAAATATTTTATATAACTTAAACATTAGCTTGACCTTATTTAAACATAAAGTTTTTCCCACACGAAAGGAGTTTTAAATTAAATTTAGTGGCCAACGAGCTTTCATAAAAGTCTGGTCAAAAGTTTTAAGTATCTCATCATTTCCCAGAACGGCTTGCCTCTGCACAGTTTAATTAAAACTTTCAGATTTTCCCCAGCCTGCACTCTTTCCCTCTAATATTCGTGTACCAATTTATATTTTTTACGGATTTAAACGTTGAAAAAATCATTGTACGAGTGCTTACTTAAAGCGCTTACTCGTAAGCACTTCCTAATTAAATACTTGTGCCAAATACGTGACAACGATGGCTAGGCGAAATGCAGCGCAGCTCCTGCATTCGGAGGATACAAGCCTAGTCAGCGAATAAAGTGCTGCATCATTATCAGCAATGGCAGGATGTACAGGGTTGCTGGTTGGTTGGCTGGTTGGCTGCCTGCCGGGGGGTTGGGCCGTCGAGGAAACACTGTACC